CAAAAACCAAAAACCTTGGGAGCAACTCTATTCGTGTTTTACAGATGTCGGGATGTCATCTCCCATATTTTATAATCAAGCTTCAATCCTATGAACTGGGACTACAATCTGCCTGTCAAACCACTTGTTGGGAAAATTTTCTGTGCTGCTTCCCATAACGCGAGTTTGCACAGTAGCATAGGAAATGTTGGCTCTAGAACCAAGTAGGTGAAAGGTCTCTTACTCTGTGTCAGCTGTTATCTGAAGAGATTCCAACTGGAAGTGCTGGGACTAAGTTATGCCAATATCTTGGGTGCCAAGGATAATGCCCACACCCAAAACTTCAGGAGCAAAGAATACTAAGACGTGGAGGTTCCATGTGCAAGTGAGTGTTCCCAGCACTTTTCTAATGGGCAGATAGGTCCGTTCCCTTCATGAGAAGACCTGAGAGCAGTCCTGGAACCCACAGTCCCTCCAGCTGACCTTGTTTGAGAACCTTCTTTCTAGCCTCCTTGTCGGTCACCAGGGGTTCAGGTGGCCGCTTGACGTCCTCGGCGAAGGGGTTCGGGGAGTTTCTGCTGAAGAGACCCAAGTAAACCCTGTGGAGACCCGCCAGCAGCAGCTTGGCCAGCAGTAGCACGGTGAGCCACATCTTGCAGCCTGAGCTTCGAATAAGGCGACTTCTCTATCCGTGCTCTGTTTTTATGCCCGAAGCTCCGCCCCGCTAGTTTGTCATTAGAGAAACACCAAACAAACTATGTCCAAGGAACTTTGACCAATGCCAGCGCAAAGCTGATCAAGATTGTCTATCCTCGCTCTTTGTACAACGCGATTTCCATTGCCTGCTGGGAAATGTAGTTCTAGCACGGGCCAGGAGCCGCTTAGAGCCTGTGCGATGAGGCCCCACAGGTGATGAGGTGACCCTTACTGGAACGTTGGGAACTCGTCCGGTGAGCCAGGGGTAGCGTGAGGAAGACGGGGTTGAGGGTGACAATGTGGGATGGAAATGGTCACCGCTGGGCCGCACAAGGCTGAAGGTTGCAGGTCTGAGGGCGATCCCGCTGGGAGGCAGAGAAGACCTGGTTTCTGGTGCCAGTTCTGTGATGGATTCGCTGAAACCTCGGAAGCAACTCATTGCTTTCTTGTACTTTCCCTTACTGTCAGTGAGAAAGTTTCTGTTCCCGATTCCCCACTGTTAGGAATATTTCTTAGATGACCTCTCTGCTGACGCAAATAATTCCATTAAGACCAGTCAGAGAGAAAAAAAGATTCCCAAGTTTAATGCACTGCTCCCGGATGGCCCCGGGAAAGCACAGAGAGGGAAAGAGAGCAAGGGGGAGAACACGGGAAACCCGGAAACCACTTGTTCATTCTCTGAGGGGCAGTTTAAATAGCCTATGGAAGTGGTCCTGATTTTCCCTGGGGAGGGGTCACCCTTTGGCGGGCTTTGTTGACCTTCCCTGGAGAGGGGTCTTATGCCTGGATCCGGGATGAAGCCCCCAGGTAAACACCCACAAAACCTCTGCTCTTTTGGATTTCTTGAAATGAGAGCCCTGTTGAGAACTGCACAAGCGCTCTTCTGAATCTGTCACTCATTGCGGGGCCGAGGGGGGCAAGGGGAGGGAGTATAGGGACGGGACTGGTCCTTGAAGTTGCCCCCAGCTGGATCCCCTAATCACAACTATTCTGGAAGGAGCCTCTAAATACCAAACCACCTAGGAACAAATGTCAAAAAAGACCATCAGGGATCATCATGCCCCTGTGTGCATTTGCATTTAAGGATAAACCAGCTTCTAAATAACCTCTTTAAGTTAGCTCCAGAGGACAGTGTAGCTATCCTGCCCTCTTAACGTTGCCCTTTGAGAAAAGTAGGTCCGAGATAAGTACTTGATTTGAGACTGTTTTTATAGGAAGCCCATTTCCTCAAACACCAGCCATCAGGAGGAGGGACTTCACAAGTGAGGATTTTGTCCCTTTCACAGGCCCCAGCAGCGCTCCAGTCGCCCACTGAAAGCAGGGCATGCCTCTGTGATGCTTGGTTTGTTTCCCACACAGTGAGAGGAAAACCTTCCTGAGCCTGCCCAGCAAACCTACCTGTGCCCCTGCCAGGTTAGCCGGTGTGTGTGTGTGTGTGTGTGTGTGTGTGTGTGTGTGTGTGTGTGTGTGTGATCCTGTGCTGCCATCCAGGCCAAGATGGGAGGAAAGGAAAAGAGAGGTGGATGCTGAGGTTCCAGGGAGAGAAAGCTAGTTCCGGGGGATGCTGCAGGTCAGGGACTACCACATCCTTCCTAAATCACAGCCCAAAAGCTGTCAATGACCCCAGTTTGTTACTGGCAACCAGACTTTGAGGAAGGTAGATCAGATTCCTCCAGTCAGGAGCCGACTCTGGAGATGCCTGTCTTCTGCCTTAGTCCTCAGAGCCTGTGAAGTATGACTGTCGCTTGTGCGAGAACCCTCCAGCCACGTTTTTCTTCCCTTGGTATTAAATGTGGAATCTAGTGTCCTCCCGCTATGGAACAACTCCGGCCTTTCCACCTGACTCCTTGTTGTGGGTGTGAGCATGCCTGCCATATAGAAACAGAGAGGCCCGAGGAGGACTGCCAATTGCCCTGTTCTGTCTCTCTGTGCCTTGTGCCTTTGAAGCTGGGTCACTGACAGAACCGGGAACTAGGCGCATCAACCGGTAGTCATTACATCTTCATCCCCATAGTGCTAGGGAGCCAAACTCAGGTCTCTACTCCCGAAGCAAGCTCTCTTACCCAAGCTCTCTTACCCATTGAGCCGTCTTCCCAGCCTCTTCTTGTTTTACTTTTTAAAATTGTATTTAGTGGGGCGGGGGCGGGCACGTGGAACTGTGTTTGTCATGGTGCCTGTGTGGAGTCAGAAGACAACTTGTTTCTCTCCTTCTACAATGTGGGTCCCTCTGGGGATTGAACTCAGGTTGTCAGTCTTGCAGGCAAGCACTCTACCCACTAAGCCATTTCACCTGCCCTCATTTTTGTTTGTTTTTTTTTTTCACTAAGACAACGTCTTGCTATGTAGACTGGAGCTCTATATAGATGAGGTGGCCCTCAGACTTAGAGTTATGACTCTGCCCCCAGGGGCACACACTACCATATTGAGGGTGATCCCTGATCTACATATTTTTTTCCATTGTTGGGAATTGAACCCAGGATCTCAAACATGATGAGCAAATTGCTTTTCCTCTGATCTATGTCCCAGGCCTCATGTTTTTCTGTTGACCCCCACACATCAATCCCTGCCACTAAGGTCTTGGGAACTCTTGTCCACGAGAAGACTGTCTCAGTTTGACACAATCACCTGTGACAGGCGTCCATGATGTCTAGTCTCTCGTGATTGTGATGTGATCTTTGTCCTGCCCTAGTCCTGGACGACATGAGATGAAAGGCATAGGGCAGGGTGAGAGTTCTCAGCTTTCCACAGCGTTGTCCCAGCCCTTGAGAAGCAGAAGCAAGCCTCGGCTACATAGCAAGTCTGAGGCCAGACTGAACTGCATCTCCACATCCTGTTTGTATATCCACATCCCTGTGTCAGAGAGAGAGAGAGGGAGGGAGAGAGAGAGAGAGAGAGAGAGAGAGAGAGAGAGAGAGAGAGAGAGAGAGAGAGAGAGAGAGAGAGAGATTCTCATCAGCTAAGAACATTTGTTGCCCTTGCAGAGGACCAGGACTGAGCTCTCAGCACCTGCATGGCCACTGACAGGCATCTGTAGCTCCATCTCCAGGTGATCCAATACCAAATGGACATCTTTACATACATGATAGACAGACACACCTGCATGAATACAAATAATAATTTCTAAAAAGTGGTAACACATTATTGTAATCGCAGCGTTAGGACTGTGGAGACAGGCAGATCTCTAAAGCTCATGGGCTGGCCAGCCCAGCGTGCTTGTTGGATTCCAGGCAAATGTGAAATCCTGTCTGAAAAACTAAGCTGAACAGACACTGGGTTGTAACAGCACCTGGGGTTATTAGGAACATGTATGCTTGTGTGTGCACACGTAAGTTGAGCTGAAGATGTAGTTCAGTGGTAGCTTGGCATGCATGAAGACCTGGATTTGATCGCTAGCACCAAAACTACACACACACACACACACACACACACACACACACACACAAATTTGGTCATTTTGACTTAGCAAGGTTACGATATCATCTGGTATTTTGAGTTTTTCTGTCCCTTTGGGGAACAAGCCTAGATTCGTAAGCCCCAGAGCTCCTCCTGGGTCTAGCACCTGACCAGAGCCAGAGCTCTTCAGTAAAGTGCAGCCACCAGTCAGCCTCACCCCCATAAGCCACTAATTAGGTCAGTGCCACTGCCAACTAGACAGTCATAGTGCATCCCCGACCCCCTCCAGTCCCCTGAATGTCCCATCCAGTCGGATAAGCATCCTGTGTATTTAGAATAGATTCACAGCTGATGGAAGATTTTAAAAGTCTTTTCCTCCTTGAATGGAGACAGAACTGAATGACAGAGCCAGTTTTTTCTTCTTTTCCCTGCCCCGCCCCACCGCTGTTTTCCAGAGTGAAGCTTCACAGTCCCCAGGGCTCCGTTCAGGACTCACAGAAACCTCCTGCACCTTGGTGATGGCACAAAGGGACTGTTTGCTTACTTGTAGCCTGCATGGCTGCCAAGAAGGAAGGCAGAGGTAGAGCACATGGGCCTGTGGCACTCCTGGTAGCTTTGGAGCTCAGACCATCGAGTCAAACCCTTTCCAGAGCCTGAGGACAGGCTCGTCTGAACCAGTGATCTTGAGGCATGAATGAGAGATCTTGCTCTGTTGGGACTGAGAACAAACTACGAGATGGACAGGTGAGCGCTCCTGCTCGGAGAAGGAGGTGCTGTTTGGGTGCTGCACTGTTAATGAGACAGACAATGTGGAGTTTTAGAAATATTTAGGGGAAATGATCGTATATCTATGTTCTTGGAGACCATAGGCTGAAGGTGTAGTTCAGCAGTAAAGCAATTGCCTAGCGTGCTTGCAGCAGTAGGTTCTATTTCCAGGATCAGACAGACAGACTGTCACACAGATAGACAGAAAGACAGAAAGAGACAGGCAATTCTAAGCCACCATGGTGGGACATCTGTGATGCTAATACTTGGGAGTTGGAGACAAAAGGATCAGGAACTCTAGGTCATCCTCAGCTACAGAATGAGTTCAAGGTCAGCCTGGGCTCCTGTGATTCTGTCTCAAAACCAGAAGAATCTGTCCACATGTAGGTGGTGTCTTGTTTCCTGGGTTATTTGAAGATTCTTGTTTCCTCTTGCTTGGGTGGGGAAGGGGAATGGTGTCTAGATTCCCTAATAAATCAGTATTTCTTGGACTTAACATCATTTAATTTAATATTCTCTTCCTTGTCATTCACTGGCTTTGGCTGATTGTCTGACTTAGCTTTTTTAATTTTATTTCTTTATTTATTTAAAGTGCGTTGGTATTTTGACTACATGTATGTCTGTGTGAGGGTGTCAGATCTTGGACTTACAGACAGTTGTGAGTATCTGTGAAACTGAACCTGTGTCTCCCGCAAAAGCAGTCAGTGCTCTTAATCGCTGACCCATCTCTTCAGCCTACTTACTTTGTGTTTTTATTGCTGTGAAAAACACCATGACCAAGAGTAGAGGAAGGAATTTAGTTCATTTTAGAACTCACAGGCCATCCCTGAGGAAAGTCAGGAAAGGAACCTGGAGGCCAGAACTGAAACACAGCCATAGAGAACACTAATGCTTACTGACTTGCTCCTCGGGCTCGCATTCAGCCTTCAGCCTGCTTTCTTATACCTCCCAGGACCTCCTGAGCAGGCGTGCACTGCCCACAGTGGCTGGGCCCTCCTTCATCAATTGTAAGTCTAGAAAGTATCAGTCAGACAGACTGGCACAGGCATTTAATCCCAGCACTCAGGAGTCAAGGACAGGCAGAGTTGAGTTCAAAGTCACCTGGGTCTGCATAGTGAATTCCAGTCCAGCTGGAATGGAAACCCTGTCTCAAAATAACAGACTTGTCTAAAGCCCGTATGTATGAGAGAGATGTTTCCCCAGCGGAGGCTACTCCCCCCGACTGTGCTAGTTTTATATCAAATTGACAAAAATGTAAGCAGCATACTGAACGCCACCCTGAGGCCCGCTGGCCCACAGTCACCGCGTGCGTATGTCTATGGGAGCCTGGCAGCTAGCCTGCACTCTATACCTTCCCTTCTGTCTTGCTGCCAGAAATGAGGTTCAGGGACCAGAATACAGACAGCATTTGCTGAGCTCTCCAGGGAGGTTTCCTCCTCCTCAGAAGAGGACAAACTGTTCTCCAAAGGGAAGTCTAAGGATGGGGCTGAGATCTAGCCAGAGGAGAATAAAGTGAATCTGCTTTTTATTCACCAAATATTTTTCTTTTTTTTTTTTTTGTGGATTTTTATTGAGCTCTACATTTTTCTCTGCTCCCCTCCCTGCCTCTCCCCTCCCCCATTCCACCCTCTCCCAAGGTATTCATGCTCCCAATTTACTCAGGAGATCTTGTCTTTTTCTACTTCCCATGTAGATTAGATCTATGTAAGTCTCTTAGTGTCCTCATTGTTGTCTGAGTTCTCTGGGATTGTGGTTTGTAGTCTGGTTTTTT